CATAAGTGATTTTGAAGCTTTTGCCATTGCTAAGTATTAAATTTACTAATACTCTATTATCTTCCAACATTGCGACTATATTTTTGGAGGGAGCTTGCTTATATAGAAAGAGAAAATGTTGTTGGTACTTACATTTTGATTTTATATAGTTACGTATTTTGTTAAACATAACAAACTACTTGATTATTTGATAGATGAACAGCTAGGCCTGTTTGTATTTTATATTTATTTTTATTTATAATTTCTTGAAATAATGTAAATGAAACATTTGTTTTTTTAAATGTTCAAAGTGAATGTTGTAATATGTGTCCTTACATTCTGACATATCTTGCTTTCTATTATTGAAGTATTACCATTATTATTATTATTGTACATATTTTTTATAAATGTCATATAGTAATATAAATATATAATTAGATTCTTCTGCCGGAGGAACTCTATCTGTCCTATGTGATATATATACGTACTAGATATTTACATATTCTTTTCACTTTTGAAATGTTATTTTTCTTTGGAAGGACTTCATATTTCTTATATATTATATAACATACACGCTTATAGTTGGATGTTTGTCCTTTTGTATGTAGTATACTTTTTTGGGATTGGAGCCGATAAGTTTTTTGAATAAGTTTTCATGTGTATCATCATGTTGTCAGAAGCAACAAGTAATGGGTAAATTCTGGCACTCTAACATATTGAACGCAGTATAAAAGAAATTAAAGATCCAAATGTTCATTTAATTTTTTCACGGCAGCTAAGGAGTGCGGATTTATTGCTAGCAATATGCATGGTGTCTTTTTTTCTTTTTTTTTGTTTTTAAGCATTTCACTATGTTTAACCCCTCTATATTGTTATGTAGAATAATCATCAATCAATGGATAAGAGAAGGGAATTGTCATCTCCGTCAATGACCAATATGGACGACGGAAGGGCTGTTTCATTGAGCACTGGCAGAGTCCAAACAGCTCAAACTGAAGGATGCACTGACAGGAACCAAGACCTGTCCTGTATGGAGGATCGGAGGAATCAAGCAGACAATTATGCTGCATTATTTGGGCCTGAATTGACGGTCCCTGAACTAGAGGGCCACTCCGATGGGGGCATTGCCGACACCCCCTCCAGTACAATGGCTCCTATAGAGAAGGGGAAAGAAGTGACTAATTTGAGTGAGGATTTGCGGGATATTGTCTGCGGAGGAAATGCTGACGATGGAATTCGGGTACATGGTGACAGTTCTTCTGGCATTGGAGGTCGGATTCGATCTCTAAGTAGGACCAATAAATGCCAGTCGTATGAGTTGAGTGATTTGTCTGGCGATGAAATTGGGAACTTCATGGTTGATGAGGATGATCAAGACTTTACTCTGGCGAGGAGGCAAAAACGGAAGAATCAGAAAAGAAGTGAAACCGAAAAGGATAGCGCGCCAGTGAAGGCTTCAGGGCAGCGCTGCAATGGAACGCCGAAAAGAAATATGCCAGTGAACGCTCCGCAGAGGAAGAGAAAGCAGAGGAGGGTGGGTGGCGATGATGATGACCGAACAGTCAAGGCAGGAGCGCACCAAGTCTCAGCCTCAAATGCCTAGAGCCCGAAAGCTACACGGATTTGCAAAAGTGGCGGGGATGGAGAAGATATGCCGCATTGGCATAAGGAGATGACAAAGTTTATGATGGGGGCTAAAGCTAAGAAGCTGAAGCCTAAAAGATTTGACATCTCCAAAGTCCTGAGGGAATCTATTCTCGGACAACCGTCTCGATCAATGCATACTGGAGAAGGGAGTGGGGCAGCAGATGCAGCTGAAGGCTACCCTCCTCTTCCAAAGAAGTTTCGGTTTGAGGACGATGTCGTGCCACTCACAGAAGAGGGACAGAGACAAGCTGAGCGGGCGGAGGAGATGGAAGACTTGTTTGAAGAGTTCAACTTTAGTTGTGCTGTTGAGGAAATAGGAACGACTGCCAGCCGTGAGGTAAGTAAATCATCTCCAGCACTTGTGTAGAATAATTCAATATTCAAACAATAGACAAGAACTGATTTGACATGAATTGAGAACTAAATCTGCACTATATTATTCAGAAAGTGAAATGATAACTAATGATCAATTCATGGCCTGCAGGTTCTTGGAGTAGACGATGAGGAGGAGGAAGAGACTCAGGAGCGCAGGTGTGCTCGAGGGCTGCATGAATTGATATTAGAAGACGATCGAGGATGGTTTTGTATCTACTGTCAGCATGCGGCGATTTAACCAAAGGATGTAATTCCTCCATAGGTAAGTATATATCAATTTCTTCCTTAAATAACTGAAATCAGAAAACCATCCAACTATGGAACATCAAAATTGTTCCTTTTAATTAATTATCTACCATCCTTAATTCTATACTAATTTGTTATCTGAATGTAGGTCAGTGCAATTTTAGGTTGATTTAAAATTTGTGCAGCTACCCTTATTTATACCACTTCTTCTTCTTTCTTTCGCAGGCGATCAAAGCTCGTAATGCTTCCGGAAAGAAGAAGCAGGAGAAAGGGAAGGGTCTGGATCTTAGCGCCGTTAATCTCCCAGAAGCTGATGCAACGGATATAAGAAGCTGGACTAGCGGCTCAGTGTGGAGCATCAAGGCTGGTGTGCGGGAAAGTATGTACAAACACCAGCAAGAAGGAACTTGGCAGGCAGTACCGATATTGCCGATTTAAAGAACTCAAATCTAGTTGGAGTGGGCGGATGCATCATTTCTCATGCCCCAGGGACAGGAAAGAAATGTCTCATGATCATATTCCTCGAGACATATCTAAAGATATATCCAAACTGTCTTCCGATGATCATCGCCCCGGCTGGATTGCTTCAGAACTGGGAAGGGGAGTTCAGGAAGTGGAAAGGGCTGGTTTAATTTCCACAACCTGAACAATCTGGCAATTATCAGTGACGAGATGGCGGCTGCTGATCATCTCCTTCAAGGAACGAGTATCAGATGCAGGGACATGGAGGCAATCCGGATGGTAAAGATATATTCATGGAAGAGAGGGGGAGGCCTTTTGGGGATTAGCTACAGTCTGTTTGAGAAGCTGACGGCGCAGAAAAACGTGGAAGCAGATGCAGGCGAAGAGGGGCGGAGGTCGGGTGTTGAAAAGAACTTCGAAGTTCTGAGGTCGATACTTCTTGAGATGCCTGGACTGGTGATTCTTGATGAAGGCCATACTCCACGCAACCGCCGGAGTAAAATTTGGACTTCACTGGTTCAGCTCAAGACCGAAAAGCGTGTTATATTGTCTGGGACTCTTTTCCAGAACAACTTTAGAGGGCTGTTCAACTCACTGAAGATCGTAAGGCCTACATTGGCAGAAGCAGCTATGCAGGACCCGACATTCACTGAGATTCTGCATTCAGATAGGAAACGCCGGAGATCTAGGGATGCTTTACTTCCGGAATCCATCAACCGTGCAGTGCAGAGGCTTAAAGTCTCAATGTCACCGTTTGTGCATGTGCACAAAGGCTCTATCCTGCAAAAGAGTCTTCCCGGATTAAGAGAGTGTGTCGTCCTCTTGAAATCGACTGGATTGCAAAAGAATCTGATCGACTGGTTGGAAGGGGAACGACTAAGGAAAACAATTAAGAGTTCAGATTTTGGATTTTCTTTGGTATCTGTTCATCCGTGCCTTATCCAACGATGCAAGTCGCAAGTGCCAACTGATGGAATTGATATGCAAGCAGCCGAGGCATCAAAGCTCAATCCCAACGAAGGAGTCAAAACAAAATTCATCATCGAGTTTGTCCGCCTCAGTATGACGCTGAAGGAAAAAGTACTCATCTTCAGCCAGTACCTTCCACCCTTGGACCTGATCGAAGAGCATCTGACCGCGACCTTCCAGTGAAATGCCGGGAAGGAAATTCTGAGGCTGGAAGGAAAGCTAGAGAAGAAGCAACGCCAGAATGTGATCAACGCATTCAACGATCCAGAAAATGATTCGAAGATCATGCTGGCGTCGACAAAGTGCTGCTCTGAGGGCATTAGTCTGGTTGGGGCTTCCAGGGTCATTCTGCTGGACGTCCTCTGGAATCCTTCTGTCCAGCAGCAGGCAATCTGTCGAGCTTATAGGATTGGGCAAAACAAGTTTGTCCATACCTACCATCTTATGACTGCTGGCACGACTGAGGCGGACAAATATTGCCGGCAAGCTGAGAAAGAGCGGCTATCCGAATTAGTATTTTGCTCTTCTTCAAATGAAAAAGATATCTCAAAGCAGCCGATGCCGGAGATTGAGGACAAGATTCTTGAGGCGATGGTCAAGCACGGAATGACAAAAGACATGTTTGAAAAGATTATCCACCAGCCAAAAACCACAGACTTGATCCAATCCTTAGGCCTCAGAGGTTGAGAATGCTCCCGGAAGTATTAAGGTACGGCTTGAGTGAAATTATTTTTTAAGAAACAAATTGAGTTGATTGATTCATTTTTGTTTGTGAATTGTTTGGCTCATTTTCTGGAAGAAATAGAATGTGAAAGAAGCTTTTTTGTTTATTTTCTTATGAATTTTAAAATTTTGTTTTTCTTATGAATGTTGCAGCTGAATTGTTGCGATAAAGCAGGGAATCCCTATGGGAACGGACTGCAGGCACCTGATGGTCTGTCTCTTTCTCTGTTTCTTATCCTTCAGTCGAAGCAAACACTAATGTTTCTTCCTCCTCTGTCTCTGAAAATTTTTTCTTGGATGGACTGTCGGACAGGTATAGTTATTTCATGAAATGAGAGCAGCCAAGACAGCAGCAGTCCCATCTTGTTTGTGGACACCAAGCCTAAGGATGATATCCCAATGTCTCCACGTTAACATAACAAAGACTCCTCCCCTCGATATGTAGTAAGTACAAGTACAATACTTCTGTTTTTCTTCATACATGCTCCATCTCTCACTCTCTCTCTCTCTCACTATATATTATTTTTTCCACGGCAGAAACAATAAATGATGGATTGTAGTTCGTATAGGTTTCTTATGAATTTTAAAATTTTGTTTTTCGATGGATGGTTGGCCTGATATTGCTAAATCTGTGTACCGGGAAAGTGATGCGGGTGAAAGGACAGTGATCCTTGTGATAAAGCAGAGAAACTTGCTGGCAACCGCCTGTCATCTAGAGCTAACTACAGACACCCGACGGTCTGTCTGTTTCTCTGTTTTTATCTGTAAGTAGAAGTGAACACTAATGTTTTCTTGAAGCTATCCGGTTTCTCCGCTGTTGCTGAATATTTTCTTGGATGTAGAGGCATAGTTATTTCATGAAGACTGTGGACGAGAGCAGCCAAGACAACACCCAGTCCTGTCTTGTTTGTACGCACAAAGGCTAAGTATATTAACAAAACAAGGACTCGTCTCCACAATACTTAGTAAGGACAAATATGTTTCTGTTTTTCTACATACATGGTTCCTCTCTCACACTCTTTCACACAATACATTATTTATGTGATGGGTTATATTGTTTCTGAAAGAAGTTTTGAATTTTTAAATTTTTTTCCATGGCAGAAACAAAAAATAGTGGATTGTAGTTCATATAGGTTTCTTATGAGTTTTAAATTTTGCGTTTCGACGGATGGCTGGTTTGACATTGTTAAATCTCTGTACCAGGAAAGTGCTGCGGCTGAAAAGACAGTGATCATTGGGATAAAGCAGGGAAAGTTGCTGGCAACTGAAGGTGCGTTTGTTTAGCTGTTTCTTGTCTTTAAGTAGAAATGTACACTAATGTTTTCTGAAGTTATTCCCTTCCTCCTCCGTTGCTGAATATTTTATTGGATGCACTGTCCGACAGGCATGGTTATTTCATTAAGACGGTGGACGAGAGCAGCCAAGAAAGCAGCGGTCCCATCTTGTTTGTTGACAGAAAGCCTAAGGATGATATCCCAATATTTCAACATAAACAAAACAAGGACTCCTCTCCTCAATATGTAGTAAGTACAAGTACAACACTTCTGTTTTTTCTATATACATGCTTCCTCTCTCTCTCACACTATATATTAATTCTGTGATGGGTTATATTGTTTTCGAAAGAAGTTTCAATTTTTTTCATTTTTTTCCACGAAAGAAATAAAATGTGGATTGTAGTTCATACAGGTTTCTTATGAATTTTAAAATTTGGTTTTTTTTGATTGATGGCTGGTTTGATATTTCTAAATCTGTGTACCAGAAAAGTGCGGCGGCTGAATGGATTCCAAAGTGCAGGTCCAAAATCCAAGAAGGCCCAAATGCAATTTATTTTTTATTTTTCCAGGACCATATTAAAGATATGACTGGTACCGTCCATGGAGAAAAAAGGCAATATGTTGTAACAACCTAGTGTTGTATTGTGATTGCTTGAAAAGATAGATAATCTTGCTGAAGGCCCAATTTAGTTGGATAGATAATCTTGCTGAATGGTGTTGCATAGAAATAATTTGCAGGTAGCAATTCTTGAGGGAGATGAACACAGGTCTGTGTAAGCTTAACTTGTTTTTGATTTTATCAATTTCGTGTGTTTTATAATTGATCTCGCAGAGTGTGCCTGTGTTGTTTGATCTGTTCATGAACTGTCCTTGGAAAAATCTATGTTGGTGTTGTGTTTATCTGCGGTTCGTTTTTTGTTGTGCTTTTAATTGGTTGCAGCTTGATTTTTGAATGAATTTGGGGCCAACAATAACAAATTTGTGTGAGAGTTATATTGGTTTCTTGTGGCTTGTCTGGCTTTCCAATCATTTGATTTGGGTTGATTATGATATCCCAATATTTCAACATTAACAAACCTAGGACACCTCTACTCAATATGCAGTAAGTATAAGTACAATACTTCTGTTTTTCAATATACATGCTCCCTCTCTCACTCTCTTTAGCTCTCACTACATATTATTTTTGTGATGGATTGTACTGTTCCCCAAAAAGTTTCAAATTTTTTCATTCTTTTTCCACCGAAGAAACAAAATATGGTGATTTGTAGTTCATAAAGGTTTCTTATGAATTTGTAAATTTTGTTTTCCGACTAATGGCTGGTTTGATATTGCTAAATTGTTTACGAGGAAAGTGCTGTGGCTGTAAAGATCATTGCGATAAAGCAGGAAATCTTGCTGGCAACCGCTTCTCATTCTGAGCAGAATGCAGACACCCATCGGTCTGTCTGTATCTCTGTTTCTTATCCTTAAGTAGAAATGAACACTAATGTTTTCTGAAGCTATTCCCTCCCTCCTCCGTTGCTGAATATTTTCTTGGATGGACAAGCATTGTTTTTTCATGAAGATGGAGGATGAGAGCAGCCAAGACAACACCAGTCCTGTCTTGTTTCTGCACACAAAGCCTAAGGATAGAACGCAGTCCTTGAGATTGATTTAATCCATTTTCAGCAAGTCTACTCCAAAAAATGATGATCACAGACAGCCCTTACTGAAACCATTTGCAAGGAAATGGGGAGTGTTCGGAGATTATAAATAAACCCACCTCATTGCTTCAAAGATTCAATTTCAGAATAAGAAAATGTTTGTTGGATTTTTTGTCCTTATGGTCCACCCCAAAAGTAAATACACAAATACACACTCGTCTCGCAGCCCGAGCGCATTCGGGCCTGGCCCATGTCCCGACCTCACTGACCGTCCGGCTGCGTCCCGACTTAGCGACCTGTCCGACTTCGACCGCTTGACTACTTCCTGATTCAGAGATCTGTCCTGAGTCGGACCGTCCGCCCGACTTCGTCCGACTTAGGCCGTCCGCCCGACTTCGTCCGACTTAGACCATCCGTCCGACTTCGTCCGACTTCGACCATCCGTCCGACTTAGTCCGACTTCGACCATCCGTCCGACTTCGTCCGACCTCGACCGTCCGCCCAATTTAGTCCCGGCTTGGACCGTCCGAACTCATACCCACTGTCCGACTTTATACCTCCCGACCTTGACCCACGTCCTGATCCGACCAGACTAGGATCCGCGTCTTTTTCTTAGCCATGCCCCTGGCCGTCCGATCTGGGGCTTTGATCCTGTCCGTCCATTCGACCTGTATATATATATATATACTTGGAATGTGAGAGGAACAATTCATTCGATACATTACTCACTCTCTCTCTAAAGCTTACCCTCTCTAGCCTCTCTCTCTCTCGACTTTTTCTCTCACTCTCCCGTCCGACGGCGGTTCACGGCGGTTGTTTGTGCAGTGCCTTTCCTCCTATGTTTGTGGAGTTCCTTTGGCACCTGTTTCCCCCTGTGTGTGTGTTGTTCGTAGCCGAAAGGGGCTCGTTCAACTATAGGCTTGTGGTTTCTGTTTCCTGTATGCCTGTTACTTTTACTGTGGGGGTGTTTTGTGGTTGTGAGTCGTGGTGTTGTGGCCGGTGTGCTTGTGTTAGTCGCGATTCGAGTGTGTATGTGTATATTTTGTGTTTTGAGTGGTTAGGGACTGAGCCTAGCCAAAACGAGTTAAAGTTTTTGTTCGATTTTCTTAATAAAGAATTTGATCCTTTTCCGCAATTTTTAATAACAAGTGGTATCAGAGCTCTGTGTGCCTTCTTCGTTCTTTTTAGAAAATCGTTTTGTTCTTCTAAGTTTCAGTTAATTTGTTACTAAACCGGTGTATTTTTCCAAAAACGGTTTTGTTTTTCAAACTTTCTTTGTTAAACAAAGTATAAGTCAGGATAATTGCCTCTGTGTGGTTTTAGATCTGTTAAATTCGTTTGGATCTCTTTACTGTGGAGTCAAGCTCAAAAGTTTTTCGAAAATATTAAAAGTTTTTTGAAAAAGGTTCTTTAATATTCAAACTGTTCTCGTTTGAAAATTAGTGATAAAATCTGTAAGCCAGTCAGCCAGTTTGTTTTTGCATTGTTGTGTCGGATCTGTGGAGAACACTGTTTTTGGTGTTAATTTCGGTGATTCTAACTTTTGGTTAGAAGAGAAACAAATTCTTGTAATTTTTGTTTCTTGGAAATTAACCATTGCTAACCCCTATTCTCCAAAAAGGAGAATAGGCCGTTTTTTGTTCTCTGTTCCTATTTTTGTAGGAATATTATTTTTGTTGTTGCTGTGCTTCAAGGGTAATCTCTAAAACTCATCTTTTACAATTACTGTTTTGTGTATGTTGATATAGTTAGGTTATATCTTGTGATTAATTCTTTGCCTGCTGTGATTATCTGTTGTGTGTGATAATCTGTATTTTCTTGCTCGACAGTGTGATATTTTGCCAAATTTTTTGTTTCTGTTTTGTGTGAAAATTAGAAAATAATTTTCTGAAAACTAAGTAATATTTGACTGAAAATCTGTTTTTCAATATAAATAAAATGGCTAGTCATTCTGGTTTTAGTATTCAACCTTTTGATGGAAAAATGGATTTTGCAATTTGGAAACAAAAAATGAGAAGTATTTTAGTAACTCAAAGGTTGATTAAAGCAGTGGAGCCTGATCATTCGATTCAAGTTCCTCTTGAGAGGAGGGTTGAATTGGATGAAATTGCTTCATCTACTATAATCTTACATTTGGCTGATCATGTAATTAGAAAAGTAGGCAAACAAGAATCTGCTTTGGCATTATGGAATAAATTAGATGAACTATACACTCAAACATCATTACCAAGTAGAATGTATTTGTTAGAAAAATTTTTCAGTTTTAAACTTGATTTATCAAAATCAATTGAAGAGAATCTGGATGTTTTTTCTAAACTAATACAAGATATTAAACTTACTGGTGATAAAAACATTGATGATTATAGTGCTATAGTTTTATTGAATGCCATACCTAACTCATACTCTGATGTAAAATCAGCCATTAAATATGGGCGTGATTTTATTTCATTAGATGTAGTTATTAATGGTTTAAAATCTAAAGAATTAGATTTACAAACTCACAAGTCAAGTAAGGGTGAAATTATGTATGTTAGGGGTAGGTCACCTTTTAGATCAAATAAGAAAAATAATTTTGGTAGTAACAAAAACCAAAATAATAATAATAAAAATAGATCTAAAAGTAGAAATAAAAACAGATCTAAAACTCCTAATAAAGGGGGTAGAAGATGTTTTAATTGTGGTGACCCAAATCATTTTATACGCGAATGCCCTAAAAGAAATAAAATTACAGTAATGATAGCAGTAACAATAGTCAAAGGCAGCAAACTTGTGAAGTAGCCAATATGACATTGCTTGATAAAATGTGTGATGATGTTTTTGCTGTTAAGACCGACTGTTCAAATGTGGATATTTGTGCAAATGAATGGCTTATAGATTCTGGTTGTACTTATCATATGACTCCTTTAAAATCAATTTTTAGTGAATACAAAACCTTAGAAAACTGCACTGTTTCGATGGCTGACAACAGTGTATCCAATGTTCTTGGAATAGGAAGTGTAAATTTAAAATTTAGCACTGGTTTTGTATTGAAACTAAATAATGTGAGGCATGTTCCTGGTTTATCAAATAACTTGTTATCTTGTGCTGCTTTGTCCGATTTAGAATTAGAGGGTAAATGGGGGAGTAATTGCATGAAAATTACTAAGGGGTCCTTAGTCGTGTTTAAAGCTGAAAAACGTAATAATCTGTATGTTACTTGCGTTGAACCAATAAATGTGCCTGTAAATTCTGTAAATTCTGTTTTAGAGAATAGTGATTTGTGGCATAAACGACTAGGACACTTAAGTAATAGAGGTCTAGAAATTTTACATAAAACTGGCTGTTTTGGAAATGTAAAATTTGAACCTGTTGCTTTCTGTGATAACTGTGTTTATGGTAAACACCATAAAGTGCAATTTCCCCAAACCCCCAATAATAACAACAGAATTTTTTCAAAACAAATTCTAGACTATTTACATGCTGATGTGTGGGGCCCAGCTAGTGAGCCCACACAAGGAGGGTCTAGGTATTTTT